CCTTGTGATCCGACGACGATGCAGCACGTACATGTACGCAGTGCAGCACCACCTAGCTAGACTGTAGCTTTGTGAGTCACAGGTCAGGGGTCACAACAGTCCAAGTTGTGAGCAGTTATTATACAGTCACAGTATAGTCATCTGAGTGGCGCAGAAAAACCTCCGGCATGACGCTATAGGACCGATGTCTTGCTTCATCCGCTCGAGGCAGCAGCAGCAGAGAGCAGCATCAGCGCTATCCAAATAGGCAGCACGCAAAGCAGCTACAGTATGCCTGCACTCATCTAAGCAGATCGGGCAGGTCATGTGCAGCACGCAGTCATCACAGCTGCGGTCCGGTCACAGTAGTCAGCTCAACCAAAGACTTGCGCCGTGCATGCTGATGCTGCATATTCCAGCGATGAGCTTCATGTCGATGGATCGAATCACAATGGAAGAGCTTCTTCACGCCTTCAATGCGCCGCACCAGAGATGAATTGGGCAAAAGTCAATTTTGCAAGTCCGATCCATCAATCAGGGCGAAGGGATTCCTTGGCAACGCTTCCCGCGCAAGGCGGGCAATTGGCATGGCATGGCATGGCATGGCGTGCGAGCGCTCTAGGAAAGCTTCGAGTTGAGCAAAAGGTGTCGTGGACATTGCGCCCTCCCAATGCTGCGAATGCAAAGGAAAGCAACACGACTGAATGCGATGATCCAGTTCCCTTATGAGCATCACCCAACAAGCCATCTCCGAGCCCCCTCGGAGCATCCTTTCTAGACATGCGCCTCCTGGCTTCTCGTCTGCCTTGACCGACGCTCTCTCCTACGCGCTTCTCCCAACCTCGCAGTCATCGCTTGCAGCACCCTTATTACGTTTCGCCGCGTTTGTTGGGCTGTTGGGCAAGATGAGCGCCTATCGGTACCCTATCGTCTTTATGGCCACAGCCGTGGCGACGTCCATCGTCTCCGTCGTGCTGATCTTGGTCATGCTGGTCCCCTATCAGGAGAGAAGCATCAATCTGTAAGTTGCCAACCAGAGCATCAGCGCTTCATTTCCAAATTGATTAAAGTCCCGCTCCATGCGCCAGCAACGTTGCGATACCGACATCGACATCTAGATATGGATACGGCTACGGTGGCTACGGTGGCTACGGCACTTCATCTGATTATAACAACACTCCGTATCTGTACTCGGATTACTCGGCAAGCGAAAGCACGTTCACCCTTACGGGCGGCGTCTATGGCAGCGCGTATGTGCAAACCTACACGCACACAAGATACTACTACACGACCACGCCCACGTATGGGCTCGGCCCTAACAATGCAGCAAGAAGCATTCCAGCACTTGCCCCTCGGGCGACGAGTCCTGCAATGGCTGATGCGCTGATGGGTCGTCAAGCTACGACAACCGTCTCTAATGGCGCGTCGTCCACTTCTGCTTCACCTTCTACCACTCCCACCACAATCTCAGTCAGGCAAGGTGCGCCAGGTGCAATCCTCCTGATCGTCTTTTTGGTCATCATTGCTTTCATCTTCATCGAGGCGACAGCTCTGGCT